GTGTTGTAAAAGCAATGATGGTTTTATATATTTTCCTTATTGTACAGTATCTTCTATCAGTAGTACCAAATATGACCATTACTGCACTGGACTGTTGATCGATATCAAGAGCCTCTGACAATGTTTTAAAGATTGCAAACCAATAGGATGTTAAGGCTGAACATGACCAAAACATATGGGTTAAGTCAGCAGGAGTATTTCGACACCTGTCGCAGCTTGCATCCGTGTTAGGGTATATTTTTAGCAAGTCTGGCTTTGGAGTAGTGGATGCGATGTAAGATCTTAAACTGTTTTATGCTAAATCTGGCACATGAAGAGCTGTCATTCACTCTAAGTAAAGGGCTGTCCCAAATGTCTTCTTCCAAGTCCTCTCCCAGCTCATCCACCCAAGCTGCCTTGATCTTTGCAAGAGTTGTATTTTTAAAAGAGGATATACAGTTATTGATTCTTGAAATAAGTCCTTTAAAGCTGAAGGTAGTTTCTAACAGATCATCTAAACCAGAAGGTGATGGTAAATATGGAAAGTTGGAGTCATGATGCGGAAGGAAGTGGCGGACTTGTAAATAACAGGCTAGACCGAGGGAGGCAAAATTTATGTGATAAGTCATCAAAGCTAGCAAAAATACTGTTTATATACATATCTTTAAATTTATAAATGCCTTGTCTTTGGAAAGCTGATTATTGTGTATGGGACTTATACGGAGAAGATCATTAAACCTGAAGCTATGTCTAAGTTGAAACCATATATTGAGGGTATGGATTGTTGGTGTATTGAGAAGTAGAGATGGGAAGGCTTGAAATGACCAGGGCTCTGAGAGAGGTTGAAGTGCAAGATGCAGCTTCAAAATGGCACCAGTCCATGATTTTTTAAACATTTGAGGCCCAATAATAATGACAAAGACTTGGGAGAGCCAGGCCACCCTGTTACAGGCCTCTGTAACAGTTCTAGCCGTATTCTAGGTTTCTTCCCTTCCATATAAATGAAGTAAAGACCTTATCAATAGATTTGAAAAAAGATTTAGGGAGATAAAGTGGAATACACTGAGACAGATAGACACATTTGGGGAGTACATTCATTTTTATACAGTTCACTTTTCCTGCTAAAGATAGGTGAAGTGTTTTCCATTCCTTCAAGTCTGATTTGACTTTGTAAAATAGCAGCCAAGTTTTCCTGGTAAAGGTTCTGCATGTCCCTTGTGATGTTAATGCCAAGATATCTAAAGCCATTTCTAGACATCTGGAACGGTAGAGCATTGTCCTGAATTTAAAGAGCCAAGTCATTAACAGGATAACATTCACTTTTACTAAAGTTCAATTTGTACCCAAAAGAAGCACCAAATCTCCTCAAAGCATGAATCACATGGGGGGGCTTGAAACAGGGTCCGATACATACATTAATAAATCATCTGCATACAGAGACACTCTATGCTCTTCCCCTCCCCTATGGATTCCACTTAATGAGGGTAATGATTTGAGTGTAATGGACCAGGGCTCTATGGCCAGGGCAAATAGCAGTGGGCAGCACTGATGGGTGCCTCTTGACAGTTGAAAATACTGAGAGCACTTAACATTTTTAATTACTGAGGCTTTGGGTGAGGTATATAAGAGTTTAATCCATGAAATGAAATTAGGACCATGCCCAAATTTCTTTAAGCATGTAAATAAATATCCCCATTCTACCCTATCAAAGGCTTTCTCTGCATCGAACGTGATCGGGGACTGCACTAGACGCAGGAGGGTGAATAATATTTAATAGCCGGCGGATATTTGTTAATGAATGATGCCCCAAAATAAAACCAGTCTGGTCAGCAGAAATCACGTCATGCATTGTGGCTTCTAAGAGTAAGGCAAGGGCCTTGGCCAAGATCTTCACGTCACAGTTTAAAAGGGAGATGGGTCGATACGAGCCAAATTCCATGCTATCTTTACCTGGCTTAAGCAAGAGGGTAATTGATGCTTCAGTCAGTGTCTGTGGAAGGGATCCATTAGACAAAGAGTAATTAAACATATCAAGTAAGACTGTAGACAGTTTACTAGAGAACTTTTTATAGAACTCTGCAGGGTACCCATCAGGGCCAGGCGTCTTGCCATTCTGCATTGCCTTAATCGCGTTAATGATTTACATAGATTTTAGTGGGAGCTCAGTCTCAGTCCTGTGTCTTGTTTTTATAGAAAGAGCTTGGAGATCATTTAAAAATGTTCCATGTCAAAGCTATCATTTGTTATCTCTGACGTATACAGATTTGAATAAAACGAGATGAATGTTTCGTTAATTTCTTCTGGGTCAATAGTTAGTTCGCCATCATCTTTCCCTATTTGTGGAATCTGTTGGGACACGGAGCGGCACTTAAGTTGGTGTGCTAATAGCCGTCCAGCTTTGTCGCCATGCTCATAGACATACCCCAATGATTTTAATAGGAGACATTCTGTCTTTTCAGTTGATGACAAATTATATTGAGTTTGGAGGTCCAGCTTCTTTTTATATAATTCAGGGGAGGGGGAGGTGGAGTGCTGAGAATCCACCATAGCTATTGCTTTAATGAGCTCCTCTTGTTTTGTTCTTTTCATTTTATTTGTTCATCAATATCAACATCAATATGGCCATTTCACAAGTTTTAGAATTAAGATTGGAATGGAACACATTCCCCACCCATCCATTTTTTAGTCTGACTTGATCTTTAACCAGTAGATGGGTTTCCTTTAGAAATACAACATCACATTTTAAGCATTTTAGATGATTAAATATTCTGGCTCTTTTAACAGGCCCATTTAAACCTTTTACATTTCAGCTAATGAATCGTATAGCAGCCCTCTTTGCATCAGTACCATCTCTCATATTCAACTAT